TTGGTTTTGTTACAGTTTCATTAAATTCTGTCAGAGTAATTTGAGGAATTCAAAGCAGCTCAGTAGGATTCAGCATAGCTGCATGTATCATATAAATCCCCACTGCAGAAGTTGTCTGCAACCTTGGTGTTGAGATCAGTTTCATTTTCCACAAAGGACAAGGAACTGTTCAATCAGCTAACAGCCAGCAAATATAAAAGTGTAGCAGGCGCAGACCGATTACACTTCGGAGGGATTTATCACTAGGAAAGGCTAATTAATATCTTTACTCCCTCCATCTAGATTTATATTAGGAGACTGAAAGTTAATTCTACTTTGTAAGTCACAAGAACACTACCAACTATTAGCATCTTGCCAATAGCAAGAGCTTCTCACTGTAATGGGACATTGCTAGCCCCCTCTGCAGTATGCACTTCAGAGAAGGCTGCACCTTCTCTTCATGTCTAGTATTTCAATCCTTGTAACTAGGTCTCATGTTTGGATTTGGACTGCTGGCACGCACTTACCCAGTTTGTTTCAGAAAATACCAGGAGACTGCAATTAAAAGAACCTGATCCTTCCAGAAGAGGCAGAAGCCCATATGAAAACTCCCCCGTGTGAGCATCCAGGTTCTCCTTGCTTGCTGCACGTGCGCTGAACCGGGGCTTTCAGCTGCTCTAGTTGTGGATCTGCCAACACACAGGTACAACTCAGACCTCTGGCAAAGTGTCAAACGCCACCTCGTCAGTCTGTTTTGCAGATGGTCTCTAATCCTCATACTCAGGAGAGCAAGACTGTTTAAGAAAGAGCAGCATTAACATGAAGAGCATTCACTAAAGCTTGTATATTCGACATTTCTTTCTTCTCTGTTTATTTTTGATGGACATCTGGTCTAGCAATATTCAGGACAGCCATCATCTGATTTTCAGTCTGTGCTTTTGCCCCCCCCCCCACCTTCTTTGAGGCAATCGGCAACTGCAGCCTGGAGTGTATTTTAAAGATTCATTTTGGTCAGGCATTAAGCAGTTCTTTATTAACTTTGTTCTCTAGAAAATACCACCTAGTTTACTGCTTTTTCAGTCTGGCACCTTGAAAAAGATTTGCCATAAGGGGCTTTTCTATCCAGGAATAAGGCTGCTTTAAAATACTCTAACCTATTTGGTGAAGGCACCGACTTAAATCCTCCTATTGGTATCTTATAAACTAAGAAACTGTATCCAATGCAGAAATAAAAACTGGACCAATTTAGCTAGACCTCCATAAACGTAGCACCTAGGAAGGAACAAAGGGGGAGGAGAGGAAGGGCAAATAAGGCACTGCTGATATACAGGTAAGAGTCTGACCTCTACCTGGAGGCCAACTAACAGAATTTGACCCACAAATTGGAAGGCAAGTGAAAGCAGCAAGAACAGTATGAAAGAAGCAGAACAAGGATTAGAGTCTTCGCAGGTCCTGCAACTTACAGCTCCACTATAATTACAACATATCAGTCAATCATAAATAGATCATTCATGGAATATGCCAAGATTTTGAAACATTTTGTTTTAAAATGAGATGGTATCAAGTTATTCTTAAAAAACAGGTACAATAATGCTATAGTTTCTGAAATCTCAGTGCCTTCAGTGTTATGAAATGTAAGAGCTGAAATCCATTTCTGATTGGCACCATGTACCAATAACATGCCTAGCCCACAACATATAAGAAAATAACATTTTTATTGAGACTGACTAGCATATGGTATAAATTCAGAGTGCTCTGTGCAGTAAACAAATTTAAAAGATAAGGATTGTAATCTATTCCAGCAGATTATCCATCTAAACATGTTGAAAATAGGCATTTGCAGTACAGATATTTGATCTTGAAAATTAAAGTTCTGTTGTACAATTGCTCAAGAAAAAAAACAAACCAAAAGAGCTTTCTTTATAGCAAAACTACACTACAGATAGACAGAGTTTTTGCCAATTTCCTACATTCTTTTCACCCTTAATGAACAGGTCTCATTCTCCTTTTTCATACAAACTGCAGGACAAATCTTTTTTCAAATAGTTTCTAACAGCATAATCCACTAACATTAAAGCAGTCTACAGAACAGATACTCCCTAATGCATATGGATATAATAGATCGTATGACAACTCTGTAATAAGGAAAACAATTTAAATCAAAAGAGACACATTTGCTTCCTATCACTTTTGAATAAACATTTTGAAAGCAGGTACCATATAGGCTTCTTGCTCCTCAGAAGCAATCTTTTTCAATTCAGTTGGCCTTTTTGTGTTGTTCATTCCCTTCTTGGCCCTAGCTGAAAAAGTGTGTTGGTTTTTACCTGATCTTATGGCTCTTGCTGTACCATCAGTATGGCACAACAGCAGTAGTGCAGGCTGAACATCCAAGCACTCCTATGGCTGGATAACACTACCCAACTGGTAGCAACTACCGCTCTTCCTAGCACCTTTTCCTATTTTATGCAATTCTAGTGGTATGAATTACATGTACCAACATAGTGAAGCAAAGTAGTATTCTGCATAAGGCGATGAAGAGGAAAGTCAGTCTTGGGGCTGGGGAAGGGCTGTCACTAATCTTTCAACTAAGGGGAAAAAACAAATAATTAAGTTTTCTACACAGAAACAGGTCTCAAGCAGCCTTTTCTGTATACCCATTCTGAATTGCTTTTTTATTTGGCAAGACTGGTCTGATTTTGCGATCACCTTTCATGATTCAGTGATATGAGGCAGAAACTAGCAATGCTGTTTACTGCGTTGTTCTGGACTAACAAACTTTGACTATATTTACTTAACTGGTAGATAAACAATTTGATTGCCATGGTGGAGGTAGTGTATTTGTTCATACATTGCTCAATATGCATTTTCCTGCATATGGTAGAAAAGGTATTTTGTCTTGGGTTTCTTCATATTTAGAGATGATGTCAAGTTCTTGCCTCTTATTTTAGAAAAATTAGTCAAAGCAACTAATCTAGTAAGATTCCACACACAATTTCAGCAGCCTGTTTTCCAAGCAGATGAACGTAACATGCACCAGTGCTGGTTTTGAGCTGGTTAAGCTGATCACTATCAAACAGCTTCTAAACCAGAAGATGAAGACAGTAACTGTACTTAAAACTGATGTTTATGTCAGAGTAAAATGAGTTTGAGCTTGTCAGGACAAAGTTATAACAGCAAGAGCTGTTGACGAGTCACACCAACAGAAAACTTTTCAATTAATTTTACATGACATTTTAATGAAGGATAAAGTTACTAAGGCCTAAGGAAAATGGTTGTTCTCTCAATTCATCTCATTTGTAACCATGCACAAATCTAGAAATAGAAGTGAGAAATGAGAATATGTAGGCTTACTAACACAGGCCATGACAGATCAACCTGATGACTGCATAAAAATCAAGTTTCATTTATGTTTAGTGAAGTATCCTCAGGAAATTAGGACACAGATCATGCACAAAGTTAAAAACAAATTATAAGGCAAGTAAAACAATAAGATACGGAAGTCCCAATACCTACGCTGGATTAGAGCCAATTTGTACTTAATACTCCCATTAACAACAGATTAAAGTTGTTCAAAGATTTGAACTTTCGTCATAAAAAATGGAAATCATCAAAACAGAGAAGCAGCAGACTCTCACACAAAAATAGACCAAGATGTAATACATGAAAGTACACGTCACAAAGTCATATATTTCAATCAATAAGTTTTAGTACAAAGTAGCATGTACGAACAGTGACAGAGGGATCCAAATGCAGTTAAAAGCAGTAACCATGAGACATCAAATGTAGTAACAGTTAATAAAGAGGTAAGACTGAAAAAACAGAACCAAGATCGTGAACCTGGCAGGCACAACTGCTGTAGGTGCTATGTCTTATAGTCATAAGCGGTAAGGCAGCACGAAATGGCATATGTGAGCATCTGACTTTTATATCTCTGGCTCCATCAGCTGTGAAAGTGCAAAGGTACTGCCACCCTCAGGAGTAGCCATTTAAAAAACACAGTCTTCCAGCTGTAGACACAGACATGCAGTTGCAGACTTAATCATTTTAATCACAGCATTGCCACCGATTACTTCAGTCATCTTGAACAAATTAGCTCTTTGCTACAGTTTTTGCTGTTGTAAACGGTGAAGATAATACCGGCCAATCCTACAAAAGTGTTGCTAGATTTACTATTCAGTAGCAGTTTGAAAATGAATACTGCTGTATAAACATTGCATTTTACTGCAGGGCTGAATGCAAACTAATAACTAGCATTCCAACTGCCATCTTCTACATCTACTTTTTTTTTTCCAACACACACAAACAAATTCCCTCAAAGTTAATAGGAAAAACACACGCTTACTTGGGAACAGACTTGGGTCTCTTTCTCCAGCCTAGAAATCTCCATTCAGTAACATTCAGCTTAGCCTATCACCAGAATATTAGTAGCAGAAGACTATTCTTGTATTTTCATTGTATCAATATACTGTGATATTTTTTACTGACATATAAAAGAGATTATGCTACTGTAAAGAGCAAAACTTGATTTTTGACATTCCCCCAAAAGGCAAACAGACCGAGAGTCCTACTACTCCAAGCCTCTGTAACAGACCCAGTATCAACCCCTTGAATTAACCTTAAGCCATAGGCAATTATAGCAAGTCTTGGTGGAGAACCAAGATGTTCCTAGTAGTGGTCTTGACAAATAGCTTCTGTATTAGCGACAGGAATTTGAGAGAAAGCCTTCCCATCTCTATTGGTACAGGATCTTGGTGCTGCTGAGAGACTTTCCAAAGGGGAAGCTCCTCAGTTAAAGAGCCTTGCTCTTAGGTTTGTGCTGGAGAGGAAGGACTCTGGTGTTAGGTCTTTCCCTCCAGTGAAGGAAAGTTTATGATTAGGCTGTACCAGAAACAAGCAGCAGTGTAAAACTAAAGAACAATGTTCTATTACTATTAGGCAGACAGAAAATTGGAGTTAATTTATCCTCTGCTTTGTAGAGCTCCTAAATTGGGGTAGAGATCAAATTCAAAAATAATCCCCACCACTCACATTTTTCTCTCCCAGAACTTACACTGATTCTCAAGTTTTTATCATTCATTTTGTGTCCTCTCCTCACACATCCATTTTCTTTCAAGAAATCAAGAATCAAGAGAGCTTATGCAAGAGCTAGGCACATTTCTACTCATCTGAACAAGAGTTCTGGCACAGACAGCTGCAGACATTGCAGCATTAAGAAGTTTCACAGGGTCCGTCGGCTTTTTAGACAGGCTTCAGTGGCAGATGATCAGGTGTTTTGAAAATGTAAATATTATGTTTAAGCAGTTCCTAAAAAAAAAGGCAATTAGACCCTTAAACCAGATCTATCATAAATTAACTAAAAAATTTCAATTATTAGAATGCAATGGGAATGTGCAAAACCACGTGGCTGCTCTCACATAGCGAAATAGAAGTTACATGTTTACCAGAAGGGACACAGAGGCTCATGTATTTGTATACTGCAGAGGTTCAAGGCTCAACAGTCCATACAAACAACAATAGAAAGAAGAAAAAAACTCCTCACATTGATAAACTCACTTCCATTTAGCTAATGTCTTATGTAACCCCATATTTTTAGTTCAGGGATTCTCAAATGATCATTTCAGATACATTAAAATTTTCCAATGGAAGGACACAACCACAGGTAGCAAATATAAACCTACTGATAGTAGATCTGCTTTTTAAATTACTTTTTGTGGATTCCTCAGAAGGTACCCACAAACCTCAGGTTGCAAGCCATTAATTTACTGCTTCTGACCTTGCAAAGACCTCTGCTCACCTCAAAACTTTATGCCACAAGCTTTACGTGGGTCTTCAAAAACCTACTTTATTTTTAAAAACCACAACATATACAGTAAGCTGAAAAATATCCCAGCACATTTACTGGTAAGCAGGTTTTACTTGATTTTTACCAATGCTAGCAGTTCACTGGATTGTATTACAGTGATTCTTCAAGGACTACACAGCAATTCGTAGGAAAAACATCAGTCCAACATTTCAATCAAAGCCGCTAATAGAAACTCCAACATTATATTAAGAAAAAGAAACCAGCAAAAGTCCCACCTGAACAAATAAACCAAATCCAAAGAACTACTGAATGGATAAAAGGCCTGTATTCATTTGCCAAATGATGAAATATAATAAAAATGTGAAATTAAGTACTTAAAACTACTAAATAGTCAGAATTGTTGTAGACCAAGGCTATTTTTCAGTCTAAATAGCATATGGGTGGATGTGTTTTTCTTTCATTTACTGGAAACAAAAGTCATGCCATGCCAGCATACAGACTGCTAAATAAATCAAGGAGGTTAGTTAAATACATGTGAAAATGTTAGAGAGAGAAAAAGGATATTCCTTAACATATTTAGTCTTCCTGTAAAGTTTCTGGAAAAAAAAAATTAAAAAGGCAACTAGTTTACAAAAAAAAAGGAAATGAGAAGATCTGATGAATTGATGAAGTCAAACAGTCAAATTGTAAAAAGACAGTATGAAAAAAAAAAAGCAAACACTGAAATAAGAGGGAGAATTCAGAAAAAGAATGGAGAACAAAACGGTAACTATCCATGGATAAGTCTCCCTCAGTAAAGCATACAAGGATGAATCAAAAGACTATCATACAAAGAAAGATACTGAAAATATTAATTCTGCAGCTATCTCACTCAAGGGCGATTTTTAAGTTAAACGTAAGCCAAACCATCTTATCAAGAACTCAAGGAGTCTTCTAGAAGAAACATATGTTACTTCTGAAAAAAACAACTTGGGGCTACATTGTAAAACTGGAGAACTGCAAACTTGGCAAATGTAAAAGAAAACTAACTTACTCAAAGCAGAATTTACTGGCATTAAATCTGATGTTAGGCTTCCCTCTTCAACCATAATTTTGAAGGATTCACATCCTTTCTTGAATAAATGCTTGAGTATTTGTAAACCATCATGAAAAGTCAAACTACAGAAGTATGAGGTGATCTATCAATAATTAGTGTTCATTCAAGTGTAATGGTATCAGACATGAACCCATTTCTGAATCCATTCTTAGAACGGATGCTCCTACTCAATGAGAAATATGCACAGCAGATGTGCAAGTCTGTCAAAGTGCTTTTGAAGTAGTTGAAACTGCCATACTTGGGCCATAAGATTCCCTTCCTCCTTTCCTCCTACAGCTCAAACTATAAAAGATAAACAAAATGCTACCTCTGCTTACTTCCCCTGTAGATCTTAGAATGGTATTACAGTGGTAAAAATTTTTAAACACCACACACATGAGAAAAGCAAAGCTCAAGTCATTCTTAAATTGATGCAGAATTCAGGAGATCTCTGTCACCTCCTGAGCTGTGTCCTTCATTAAAGGTGAAAGACTTTCCCAAAGCCCAGGTTTTGGAACCTTTTTTCCACAGACCATACTCATTCAATTGGCTTGTGAAATGTGGTACTTCATTTTAAACTTCATTCTGTACCTTCTTACCTGGCTACAACTCATGAGTCGGAAATAAACAGCAGCTCAGAGACAGAGGATTAACTTCCTTGGAGCAGTATTAGATTAAGTGGCAACATATAATCAGACCAGAGGGTAAGTCAAGAACTTCAATATACCCAGTAATACATAAATGCCTAAAGCTCACAAAATACATGCACATTTCACAAACAAATCTGGACAAGCTTGGCTGACAGTGCTATGTAGCTGTAGTGACTGTGCGGTACACGGAGCAACCTGCATTAACAGGTGGCTCTCCTGTAGCCATACCCTTCTCCTTCTCCCTAGAAAGCCAATTTATGCAAAATAGAAAACTCTGTGTTCAATATGGTATTGAACAGCACATGTAGCTTGAAGGTTTCCTTCCTTTGGCTTCAGACCTACACTGTAATTTGATTAAGCCAGTTCTCTAAGGCTTTCCTGGTTTTCAGAAGAAACAAATTTGTACTCCAAAGCAGCATACCAACAAAATCATAATACATTACCCTACCAATTGGAAGTGTATCAACATAATAATCCATACAGTGATAACTGAAGTCACAGTTAAGTATTTAATCTTGTAAACTACCAAGTGAACATAGCAAGTGATAGAAAAATTGAGGACAACATGACAAGAAAATGCCTTCCCTGTCTCCCTGTGTAAATTAGAGCAATTTGCTTTCCATTTCACACTTCAGCTGTAGAAACATGAAATACAGCACATCTCCTTATGCAATAAGGAATTCTGAATCTTCAGACCACTGTCTATCTCAGTGTAGGCCCCCAGAAGTAAATGACCAGAGCGAGAAACAGCCCTCTGCTTCACTTTAAAAGCATTCATAAATCTCTCCTTGCCTTGAGGACAGCACTTAGTGCTCCTAAAACACAGGCCATCACATCATTAGTTCTATCTCGCCCTCCTCAACAAATATTTCTGGAGCAATAGGTGGTAACTAAGACGTACACACCCCAAAGCCTTTACCACAGGCAGAATTGAAAAATTCAGTTTTACCTTTTAACAGGCAAACAATAATGTGATAGACAAATACATAGTCAAACACAGCAGAAGAAGTAAACATCCACTACATTCCCTGCACACTAACTTTAGTGAAAGTAGGCAGCAGAAACTTGGGTCAAAGCACTGCACTGCAGATGAGTCACAACTCACTTGATCAAAATCTTTTGCCTCTTCTCCTTTACAATCATTTGGGGAAGGACTCAGCTTAATTAGTTAATTTCCCCTTTGTATGGTCTTTTTCCAACAGAAGTAATTTCAGACTTCCTTTGTCTGAGTTCCAGTTTTACAGCCTTGGGATATTAAAGTAAATTCAGCCACTTTAGATAAGCTTCTATAGCCCTGTCCTGTCACTGTGTAATAATCATAACACTTAAATCATGGTAGAAAGAGTTTAGTGTAGTTTTACAAGATGCACTATATTATACTGTAGTGAAAGGCTGTAAAAGACTGCTTACCAGACATCAGTGTTCTTCAACACATACAGTCTCCACATTTACAGCTGTGCCTTGCCATGCGAGGCTGAAATCAGCTCTCCTTTGCAGACTCCAGAGCAGATACATTTGCCCCTTTCTTCTCTTGCTTTGTATGCATTATCAGGATAAAACCATTCTGCTGCTCCATTTCAAATCCTCAGTGTAGATTTTTATTTTAAATTCTTCTTCTTCTCTCCTCCCACCAAAAATAAAAAGCCTGAGTACGGCTGTAACTGTAGACTACACATCCCAAATAACACCTAACTTCTCTTCAAGTCAGATACTATAGTCCAGCAAACACACTTTCCCAATGCCTAATAAAATGTCACAGGCTTTGTATTTACCTGAAATTGCAGGGTCTCAGCACTTCTCTCAGCCTGAGCTAATTTTAGTTGTGCTAACTGCCTTAGAAGTCAGGTGACAATTTCCTAGCCTGTTTTAGCTTCGGTCTATGGGTATCATATAAGCAAAGGTCTGACAAACTTACGTAGTCACTGCTTAACAAACAGTCTATATGTTAACTAGGGCTGGGGAGGCTAAGTATGAACTTTGACTAATCATTAATGGATCAAAACAGTAAAACTTTACCTGGGAACCAAAGGAAAGACCAAATAAGCAGACTGTTAAAAAAATAGCTGTAACCATGTTAGGAACAGAAAATGTCACAGCAGTGACAGTACCACCCTGCAAACCAGTATCAGCAAAAAGACAGGGAAAACTTGCTTCGCTTCCAAGGAAAAACCATGCAGCAATGCCATGAGTTTCTGAGATCTCATCAGATAGCATAGAAAAGTACAGGGGAAAAGAAACCTGACTGAAAACCTCCCTTCCCATCTTACTATAAATTAAATGAGGTCTAGCTTTAACCAAGCTAGCCAGACCAACTAACTTTGAAATCAGAGACAGACTTCCTGACATATTCAAGCAAGCAACTCTCACCCATACCTTATCCAAGGTTTGAGCACACAGAAGCAGTGACACTTCACTGCCAGGTAGGTGACTTCTGAAACCCTTCCTAAATCAGAGAGGTTAGGAAAAATCATGGTCATTTGCAAAGGGTTATACCAGTAAGTGTTCAGTAAGAGCACATTTCTGCAGTTTGGTCTTCACATAACAAGTTAAATAAAAATACATTATTGTAATCAAGGGCTGCGCTTGTGTTGATGAATAAGCAACTTGTTGTATTTGCTTGTTGTGCCATATTCAACTTTAAAAAGTACACATTCAAGGCTGAGGTGTAGAACATTGGTATCATCATCATACTGAATCTGCATCAGTTTGATGTATGCAGCATTATGCCTACTTGGCATACATAATGAAGACATTTGGGAACCACAGCTCATTTGAGAAGCCACTTGCACACCACTTCCAACACCAATAACAAATGCTATGTAGGCTCAGAAAGAATGCACATATTACGTTCGCCAATTTGAGCATTTTAACTTATACATGTATTCCCCTTAACAGTAGTGAACTGTGTTTTTATCTCATTTTCCATATTAAAGTTTTCCGCTTCTGTAAAACTTTCTCATAATTTTTACTAACTACATTAAGCCGTTTCACTACACCTTTAACTAACCTTTGTGCACTTTCAGATAACCAGCGTACTTCAGTTATTTTAGTGAATGTGTATCTCCATATCCTGGGGCTCTATTCACATTAATCTTATCTCTAACAGGTGAAGTCAAAGCCAAAAATTTCAGTACAAAAGCAAATTAGATGTTTAGGATTCTGTCTCTGGTGTAATATCCAAGCTTTTTGTTTCACATCCTCTGCGATGTTTCAAATCGTAGGCCCACACAGTGTCTATTCCCTCTCCAGCAGTATGATCTGGGATCCAGCAAGGGAAAGGAAAACGACAAGCAATGATTCTGGCATTACATTGAAGTTCTTCTTCCAGCTTCTTCTCCAACTGTGGCATCTGTTGAGCAACAACAAAAAACTCTCAGAAGCAGTAAAAAAACAGAAGCATTCTCTTTAGAATCTAATTCAAATGTTAAAGAGGAGTCCAAGGTTTGAGGAATTTCTGGGAAAAAATTTAGGAAAGTATTCATGATACATGTTTTGGCTCTGATGCATTGACAAAGAATATCTAAAACTAGAAAATGGTTATTGTGCCCTGATTGGTGAGATCAAGAAAATGGTAACTCTTAAATTCTAAGAATTCAATTAAAAAAACATAGATAATCCCTTAGATTAAAAAAGCCGCAAATTAAGAAAAGACTTTGCATGTTCCAATTCATGATTCTTAGTGGGATTCTTCTCAATAGAGAATGAAAGTTCAGCTCCCTGAATTTATGCCATTTATGATACCCCATGCTGCATGAACCATTACGTGATACTCGAAGGCCAATGTCTCTCATAATTTCCAGTCTAACCACAAGACAGATCCTGGGACACTCAAAACATCATACAGCCAACAACCCAAAGCAAACATTCTGCTGCCACTCTATGGTAAAGTACTGGTATGTTAAATACTATTGAAATCGAGCTTTGTTGGCTCCAGCCTGTTAACACATGTGAGTCCCTGCAGCAGTACTGTATGAAACTGCATACAGAATCATAGAATAGTTTGGGTGGGACAGGACCTTTAAAGGTCATCTAGTCCAACCCCCCTGCAATGAGCAGGGACATCTTCAACTAGATCAGGTTGCTCAGAGCCCCATCCAGCCTGACCTTGAACAATTCCAGGGATGGGGCATCTACCACCTCTCCGGGCAAACTGTTCCAGTGTTTCACCATCCTTATCGTAAAATATTTCTTCCTTATACCTAGTCTGAATCTACCCTCTTTTAGTTTAAAACCACTACCCCTTGTCCTATCGCAACAGGCTCTACTAAAAAGTCTGTCCCCATCTTTCTTACAAGCCCCCATTAAGCACTGGCAGGCTGCTATAAGGTCTCCCCAGAGCCTCTTCTCCAGGCTGAAGAACCCCAACTCTTTCAGCCTTTCCTCATAGGAGAGGTGCTCCAGCCCCTGGATCATCTTTGTGTCCCCCCTCTGGACCTGCTCCAACAGGTCCACGTCCTTATGCTGAGGACCCCAGAGCTGGACGCAGGACTGCAGGTGGGTCTCACCAGAGCAGAGGGGCAGAATCCCCTCCCTCAACCTGCTGCCCATGCAGCTTGGGATGCAGCCCAGGATAGGGTTGGCTTTCTGGGCTGCAAGCGCACATTGCCGGCTCGTGTCCAGCTTTTCATCCACCAGGACCCCCAACTCCTTCTCTGCCGGGCTGCTTTCAATCCCTTCACCCCCCAGCCTGTATTGATACCTGGGCTTGCCCCAACCCATGCGCAGGACCTTGCCCTTGGCCTTGTTGAACCTCGTGAGGTTCACATGGGCTCACTTCTTGAGCTTGTCCAGGTCCCTCTGGATGGCATCCCATCCCCCAGGTGTGTCAACTACACTGCTCAGCTTGGTGTTGTCTGCAAACTCGCTGAGGGTGCACTCGATCCCACTGTCTGTGTTGGTGATGAAGTTATTAAACAGTACTGGTCCTAATACAGACCCCTGAGGGACACCACTGGTCACTGATCTCCATCTGGACATTGAGCCATTGACCACTACCCTCTGGATGTGGCCATCCAGCCAATTCCTTACCCACCAAATAGTCCATTCATTAAATCTATATCTCTCCAATTTAGAGAGAAGGATGTTGGGGGGGACCATGTCAAATACCACTATGCAATTCTCCTTGGTTGAAGACCTACAGCCTAGCTTTCCTCCACTCACAAAAATCAAACAGATATGAAAGTCAAGGGAAGCATCACTACTCTTCCAGAACAGAGCAACACCCTGCCCAGTCAGATAGAGTATCTCCAGTAAGTAGATTGCAAATTCTGCTATGGATTAAGTGAGAAATGAATTAACACATCTAGACTTCAAAGAAATTTCTTTCCCATCCCAGACAGTGATTATGTTCTGAAAAAAAAAATCTTGATAGATTTAGCCATTTTTGTCCTTTGGAAAAGCTCTGTGTTATGCTTAAGCAGACCAGTGCACATCCATTTGGAATTCCCTTTATTCCTACATACTGTATCCATCTCGGGGAGTAATTATAACAGCAAGCTCCACAGGTTACTTCTATTACATGTAAAAATCTATTCACTTTGATATCATGACATAACATTTAGATAACAAAAGCTTAAAAGGACAGTAATTATTTACAAATACAGCTCAATTTAAGTCACGAAGGACATAAAATATATTAAAAAAATCACAAGAAAAAAGCCACAACAGAACATTATTAGAAAACAAGACTGACTGAAGAAAATATATTTCCAAAGGCTGCAGATATCTTCCACTATCACATACATGCAGGGTGTGCCTTTGATGTAACATCCTATTATAGCTACATTTAAGCTTACAATGGAATGTTTTAGGAAAACTAGAGTCATAGATCTAATATATCAGAGTTACCTCTGAATACTTTTAAGCATTCTATGCACTGATTTCATCCATAGAGCAAATGCTTTTAAACATTTTTGCTACCGCACCTTAAATAAACCAGAAAAATAAGCCTACATTGATATCTCAAACTGAGCTGAGACACCAGAAAGGAAAGACTAAGTTCCTACAGAAATTACAAATATGGACACAGCCTAATTTTTAATGAGTAATTATGAAAATTAATGACATCATGTCTACATTAGCTCAAATTAGAAAACTTCATTAACAGTTCAGCCAAAAAGAATTGTATATTTGAACCAAACAGTCAAGCTAGTTTTGAAGCTAAATCTCTCAGTAACATTAGGAGTTATAATCATACTGTATTTGTATCAAGCCAGGGTTGGGGTTTTTTTGGCATGTCTACACAGATACACAGTTTAGTAAACTTTTTGTACAGTATATAATCAGTTAAAATACACAGAAGCCTGGTAAAAATTCTGTCATCCCACCCTGAACAAGTAAAAGTCTCCATGCAATGACTCATAGATAAACACACCTTCCCCCAGATGCTTGCAAGAACAGAGAGGTCTTACTAAGTTCTGTAAGCTAATCTTGGATATGAAATAAAAGCACTGTGTGACAGCATCAAATCAGACCAGTATTATTAAAAAAGCTAAAGAGATCTATTGCCCGCAGTAAAAAAGAAAAAATGCATTAAAGTTTCTAGAAAATGAATTTAGTCATTCAGGAGGCTAACCATTCACAACTTCTAAAGTAAAGTTAAAGGAGATCACGAGCAAATGAATGCTCAGGAAACACAGTAGTTCATATGTCTGGATCTGTTACATTTATGACAGTATTTTTATTGGAAGAATTTAGACTAGTATTTACTGAGTTTACTGAAGTTATTCTGAGCCCTAGAGCTACTCTTCCTATCATAGCTGTTACTAATTTATCCCACTTTATACTATTACATTTAAAGTTAAGCCAGTATTTCTGCTAGGTTTACTCACATTTTCCCAGGGCATTTGTTTATTTCTAGTTTACTAAAATATCTTTCTTCACCTGCATTATTCCCCTCAGTACAACTACAGAATTTCTGACTGCAAATTCAAATATTTCTACTGCCCCCTCCCGGAACTCAAGCCAGAGAGCACATCACACATCCAAACCCAGCAACATCTGTAGCACAAGTAACATCATAGCTCTCACTAATATGCCACCCACCAAAGCTGGGGCGGGGGGGGGGGGGGCATTTTCACTTCAGTTTCCAACATGAGTTACAATTTGAATCTGAAGTAGGTATTTAATTCCAGTGCTGTTAAAGAAAATGCAGAGAATAAGGAAGCTTTATTATGCTTCTTGTTGCATCTTCCTGTTACTACTACAGATATATTTTCAGTGTATATTGTATGGTATAACATGACATAAAGCTCTTCACTCATTTCATCCCACATCTGTCCTAGCAGAGGAAGAAGCGATACAGAATCATTTATAGGATATTTGTTTCACTCCTCCATATGCATTCAACCTATACAGAAGATTCTAATAGTAAATCAAAATATCAAGAATATTTAAATATTTTTTTCCTCTTTTTACTAAAAAAGAGAAAAAGAAAACTAGATCAAGCTGAAAGCCAAAGTGAATGTAAAGTCTCACTGAATTTATCAAATATATCACTAAAGCAGTCAATATGCAACTCAATTTCTACACCAGTTTGGAAGAATGCATTTTCCCCATGGACATGATGAACATAGGCTACAAAGCCTTCCTAAAAGGCAAAGAATTTGTGGACTTGTACTCTAGCAATTATACCTGAAGTATTTGTCTCCCTTCCTAAACCCTCACAGTCTAACATGGGCAAGGGATTATTTCAATATACCAGCTGCTGGCCTATTTGAGGTGATTCAGTTTTTGGAGAACATAAGCAAAGTTCAATACTCTTCTCTAACAAGGTTCCCAAAAATCAGCTGTAGCCAATTTCTTACTCCATCCTCTCCCTGCAAACTCCTCATTTTTTTCAATATAAAACCCTGAAATTTTCAAGAACCAATCTATCAACTTCCCCCCAAGCAACTGGAGCACAGCAGTTTTCATTTTGGTTCTGAACTAATGGGCAGAAAATACTTCTCAAAAAACCATGTGTATTTTCAGAGCTCCAGTCTGCATACCATCACAAGTTTTACCATGACATAAGCAAAAATGAAATATCAAAATACTAGTACTAACTATTGACTTTCTGCAGGTTGGTTCATTTTGCAGATGAATGTACTAATACTGAATGCCTTGGTATTAAAGTAATTAAACAATGTAAAAATAGAAAACTTACCATTTGAGGTACCCCAAAAACAACAACATTCATATAACGGGAAAAAGAAACCTAAAATAAAATTTGAGAACAAATCTTAATGAAAATGGCATTTATATTTGGGGAATTTCTCTCCATTCTTTTCTCCTAATCCCTCTAGCTGCGCTCCTTTCAACACGGATTTAGACCAAAAATAAGAAAGGAGATCCCATATCAACATTTCATCACACAAATTTCCACATAAAGACAACTTCATATTGCTGAACAGCAAAAAAACTTCTACTGCCTGGCCAAGAATATGGCACCAACTCGAGCAGCACAGAAAGTATTAATTTAGAAAATACCTACATGATTTTACTCATGGCTAAGTTTTTCCACAACTCCTGTATATATTAAAAGGATGTATGTTTTAAGTTTGCCCCCACTTTTGTTAAATGTTAGCTAGCTATAAAAACTTGCCAGGCATTTCAATGCCTAGGTTCTCCCAGTCATGGAGTTTCCCTATGCTCCTCTCTGAACAAAGATAAAACAGTACATTCACACTTTTCCCCTAAATTCCTGGTATCCACTTCACCCATTACAAAATGCCATTCTTAAAAAAATAAAACAAAAAAAACACCAAAGAAAAAAAAACCCAACAAAACCCAACACCACTACCACCACAAACAAAGCAGCCAAACCAGACAAAAACCCCCCACAATTGTGACAGGAATAACAGGAGAGGCCCACATAAATATGACCCAAAAAAGCATGCCTCATTAAAGAAGCAATTGTGACTCAAATGATTGAAAATTGTGAAAAAAATCTGTCACATGTAAGTTACCTTAAAGCAACACTCAAAACCGGGTAACACATTGCACAGCTAGAAAAGAACACGTCTAATGAAAGAAATATCAGGTGATATTCTGATCTTGCACGAGGTGAATGAGAGTCCTGTTACTGACTGTACAGAATCCGCTCTCAGTGAAGCCTGACATTACAGCACCCCACATCATTCATCAGGCACAAGCACAACATAGTTTGCTCAAGGAGCCTATACTGAAAAAGGATAGCACTTCACCGAAGCACAAAACCAGGAGAGCAGGGTATTGTGCTCTGAGCCCAGTTTCTATGAGCTCAAGTATTTTTCTCAAAGCCCAATACAGCACCTTGTGGCCACTCAGTGTTCTGGTTCTTTCAAGGAAGTATTTCCAAATTACAGAAATCTCTCAAACATCCCGGATTCATTCTTACATACTTTGCCACCTACCTTCCATAAGTCTGAAATATAAAACTTGGTGTTCTGATGCACCCCATCTCTCCAGGCACGGTATCTGGAGTACCAGACTAGCCAGGGATTTAATTCATAACCAACAGCTTTGAATCCCCTTTTTGCAGCTGCTATGACCTACAAGAAAGAAAATAAATCTTCACTTAGAAACCGAGAAAGTGTATTCATCTGAACAGTTTTATTTACAATATAAATCAAAGGAATGCACCTTTGCAAATCACTCAGGTTTTAATCCCCAACAGATTGGTAGTATAGTGAACAAAAACTCAAACTACATTTTACCATTATGACAAGTCCCATTGAAATTAATAGATATATTCAGATGAACAAAATGAACCACTTAAACACTCCCAGGGCAAAGCTGTAAGCTTGTAATACGTCTATGATTTACATAAAAGTTTAATTTAACATATTCATGATACTACCTTGGAATTAAAGAGCACCAAAATTGATCATGGAGAGAACAGTGTAATACACAAGCAGAAATGCTCACAATTAGAGCGCTTATTTGAAAAGCAGTGATGGGTAGGCACCTGAGAGACCCCTGAATCAGAGCCAAAATGACCTACCAATAGAAAGAGTATGAAAGTAATCTGTTGACCTACATTTAAAAAAAGCAGGTGAAAATTTAAATGTAGGTTAAAAAAAAAAAAAGAAAAAACCTCACAAAAATCTCACAGCATAGCTTTCATCCAATGGCAATCACAATACCAATACTCTGATTGTGTTTTCACATGAATGCTGTGCAACTCCCTCCAGCCAACAGGATGAAGTTATTTTGTACACTACCTCATCAAGCCACAAGTGAGTCTGGAGCAAAAAGTATTGATTACTCCCCTAAACTAAATGTAAACCTTTCTCAAATTCGAGCCTATTCACAGGACTCAAAGACAAAGGATGCCAAAGACAAGACATTCACAAGTATGAGCAAACCACAGCAGCCACTGCTAGAGCATTTGGCACTTTTTTTGAGAGGCGATACAAAAGGAAGGTGATGTCCATAACTTACAATACGGCCATCCCCGCTACCAATGTCAACTAGGGAGCCGCTTCTGTTCTCTAACATTTTCAGCACATTCTGGATCTGAGTAGCAGTTGCAGGAACGAAGGGCAGGCACACTTTCCTCAGAGCCGGGGTCACGAAGGGGGTGACCACAGCATAGAGTGCCACCAAGGTCCCACCGACACCAGCAGTGACCCACAGCCCCCAGCTCCTCCTTCTGGAGCCGCCCTCACAATCCTCTTGCTGGCCTGCTGCGTGGCTCTCCTTTGCTAGCGCCTTGGACATCACACCTAGAGACAGACATTAAAGAGCATTTTCTCTAACGGCTTTATCACGTGCTCACTTAAGAGAAAGCAGTATACTATATCATAAGGAAAAAAAAAACATATAGCCTTTTAGCTGATTCCTAGACCCTAGGGAAACGTTACTGCCTTTGAGAAGCTGAAGGGCTAGGTTAATTTTTCAGGCCAGGAAAGCCGTTTCCATTTCAGCCTGCAGTTCCTCCCACCCGGCCGGGCAGCAGCGCGCCCCGGCACAGCTCCAGGGCCGCCACGGACCGCCCGGGAGCCCGCGCTCAGGGAAACGTCCCTGAGCAGTTACTGTTCTTCCCTTCAGGAGAGACTTTTCTCCACAGCACAACGGCCCAGCCGCAAACCCGCCGGCTAGCAGGCCGCCCGTCCCACAGAGCCCCCTCAGTACCAGGGCTGTGCTGCTCTCCGCCAGCAGTATTTATAGCGGACGGCAATACCACTTCGCTATGGGGGGGGGAGGACATGAACACGGGAGAGAAACCTTTCTGAAACCGCTTCCGAGAGGAACGACTCGCACCCTTCCGCCGTGTGTCTGTCCCCACTCCTTCGCGTTCACGTCACCCGGTGCAACCCGTATTCTACCCCGTACATTATCTTCCCTTCCCGCCCCCCCCCCCCCCCCCCGCAGCTGGGGGACGGGTCCGCGAGCACCGCCCATCCCTCACCGTGCCGGGCGCTTCCAGAAAGGTCCGCTGGAGGCGCCACATAAGTCCCGCCCGGGAAATGTGTCGCGCGGCCTGCCTTCCGCGCAGGCGCGGAGCCTTGCGCGGGCGAGCGCGCTCGCGTCACGGCGCGGCGGGCGCGGCAGCTTCCGGCTCGTGCTCGCCCGGTGTGTGGGAGACAGCGGCAGCCATGTCGGCCATGGGGACCCTGGCGTTCGATGAGTATGGGCGGCCCTTCCTCATCCTCAAGGACCAGGAGCGCAAGACGCGCCTCATGGGGCTTGAGGCGCTCAAGGTGAGCGAGGGGCCGCCGGTCCGTCCGCGGGCGGCAGGGCCGGGCCGCGCCACGCCGCCGTTGGGAGCGGGCGCCGTTAGGCCTCGGCGGGAGGATGGAGCCTGCTGGGCTGAGGGGGGCCCAGTCCTTCTCTTTTGCCCTGTGTCGGGTCTGAAGCTCTGTCGTTGTTCCCAAAAAAAGGCCGTGGCTGAGCGAGGAGGCGGCCGCGTGTGAATGCGTGGGATTTAAATAACTGGCGGAAGAGTGGAGCGAAATTATACTGGCTTGTTCTTCTAGCGTTGCTTGCTTTTGTTGCTTCCCTGCTTTAAACCTCGGGGCTGTCATTTTAGCTGCTCGGCTTTTGCGTGCTTTAGCGGTGCAAGTGCAAGCTGTGCAAGAAAAGGCACGGGAAGTGTTTCTGGCATAAAACCACTATGCATGTGTTGATTTGGTTTTGTTGGGTGTTTTTGTAGTCATAATTGGCTGTTGTCAGTTAAATCGCAATATTTATGTTAGCTTTTTATCCCCTGTATTTTTCTTAGCTTAATATTACGATTTGGGGATGTGTGGTAGTGATTTAACTTATTTCACCTTTGTTTTCTAGTCTCACATAATGGCAGCAAAGGCTGTAGCAAGTACTCTGAGAACATCCCTTGGGCCCAATGGTAATAATGAAATATAATTTTAATGGTTCTTTCTTAGTAATTGTTTTTTTCGGATTTTCTAGATTTTGCTTCATGCTTTGAATATATTTTTTTAGGCTTAGATAAAATGATGGTGGACAAAGATGGTGAGGTGACTGTGACAAATGATGGTGCTACCATCCTGAATATGATGGATGTGGATCACCAGATAGCCAAACTTATGGTGGAGCTGTCTAAATCTCAAGATGATGAGATTGGCGATGGAACTACTGGAGTCGTTGGTAAGAACAGATTTTAAATTTAACTTGGCTTTTCCAGCTTTAAAATCAAGCTTCTTCAGCTGTTTTAAGAAATTTTGCATGAAGTAACAGTAGTTTTTCTGTAGCATGTTTTTAGAGTATTTACTGCTTCGGCATTCTTGTCAGTTTTTGTGTTAGGAGTCTTTCAATCCAGAAGATGTTTTTGTGTCTTTTCTAAGTACGCCTACATTTTAAGTTAATGTTGAGACTCCTCTTTGTACTTTCAAAATTTTTCTGCATAATTTTCTTCATAATCTTCTATCTGTCCGGCCTTGGCGCCTGTGCTTCTTTTTTGTCCAACATAATGCAGTTTTCTTTCCAAGCATAGCAAGCAGGGGGTTGTTTATGGTTATTTTGTCATTTAAGAAACCTTGAACTGTGAAAATATTACAGAAAAAAATCAGAAGTCATACTTTTTAATCTTTTGATAATGCTTTAAAAATGATGCTTCAATCTGTGGAAGCGTACATGTTGTTTTGAAATTTTGTCTTATAGTTCTGGCTGGAGCGTTATTGGAGCAGGCTGAGCAATTACTAGATCGTGGTATTCACCCTATCAGAATAGCAGATGGTTATGAGCAGGCAGCCCGCATTGCAATTGAGCATCTAGACAAAATCAGTGACAGCTTTACAGTTGATCCACAGAACATTGAACCTCTGATCCAGACAGCAAAGACAACGCTAGGCTCTAAAGTGTAAGTCACAAAAACTTCAGAAGAATATTTAAGTTTCCCTTAAAAATACTTGAGCCAAAGGGAGAAATCCCGGTGTTTTGATGGATTATTAGTAGTTCATTCTCCTCACTTGTTTTAAATCTGTATCTTGAGACTATGTCCACAAAGACTACTTAGACAAACCATATTGCATATTCTGTTTTCTGCCATATGTAGCACCTTTTATTTCAGTGAACGAACAAGCGGGACTTCCTCTTTTAATGGAGCATATAAAAGTTGTTAGCTATAATGATACTTTTTTGTGTTTGAGATTTATAGAATCACTTTTTTTTCTTCCAAATTGTGGAAATGTAGTGCAACCTTACTGTATTTTTTTTAAACCTAGAGTTAATCGTTGTCACAGACAAATGGCAGAAATTGCTGTTAATGCTGTGCTGACAGTAGCAGATATGGAACGTAAAGATGTTGATTTTGAGCTGATCAAAGTACAAGGCAAAGTGGGAGGTAGACTGGAAGATACACAGTTGGTTAAAGGAGTGATTGTGGATAAAGATTTCAGTCATCCACAGATGCCTAAAGTAAGTGATGTCCCTGTGTGTATGTCTCATCTGTAATGGCTTAAATAAGATTGTCTAACTCAGTTCAAATGCTGTCCTAGCATTTCTTAAGTATTTAAACAATGTTGTGGTTTGGCTTGGGTTTTCACTCATACATTAACAGAGAAGGGGGAGAGGAGCATTAAATTCTTCATGTTGGAAGAGACCGAGTTAGAATTTACAACAATCTTGAGAAATGCGGGCAGGGGGAATTACTGTACAACTAAGTGAGGACAGGTGCAGAGTTCTATGCAGAAGCAGAAATGATCATCCATAGTGTGTAATATGTTTTAGATGCTTAATGCAACTCAGTATCAGGAAATGCTTCTTAAACTTTGAGTTGCCATGTTGCCCTGTTTTGAATGCCCCAGAAGCTGTCCTAATATACTTGGTGTAGGTAAGGTCTCTAAGTCTTTGTGCAGCATACTTCAAGAAAGATGGAGGCAATTTAAAATTTCTGCTATTCTAAAATATTTTTCTAGTAGGTGACATGATTTATCCTAGAAAAAGGAAGCCTAGTAGAAAATTTCAGTCATGTACTACATAAAAGGTGGCTATGATGACAAGTATGTAGTATTCTCACTGGTCATGGTGGATAGGGCAAATAATGATGTCACTGAAGTTTTTTTTCGGGGGTTTTTTTGTGGTTTTTTTTTTTTAAACATTAAACTATAAAAAGACATCACTGGTAAAGATTGTTAAGGGCTTAAACAGTATCTTGAAGCTGTGGAATTTGTTCTTAAGTGGGTGTCGTGGTTTAAGCACCACACAGCCACTCACTCCCTTTCCTCCCACCCAGTGGAATGGGAGAGAGAATTGGGGCGGGGGAATAAAACTTGTGGATTGAGATAAGAACAGTTTAATAGAACAGAAAGGAAGAAAATAATAATGATAATAATAATAACAGTAATAAAATAGTAATAATAAAAGGATTCGAATGCACAAAACAAGTGATGCACAATGCAATTGCTCACCACTCGCTGACCGATGCCCAGTTAGTTCCTGAGCAGCGATCCCCCCCAGCCAAATCCCCCCAGTTTATATACTGGGCATGACATTCCACAGTATGGAATACCCCTTTGGCCAGTTTGGGTCAGCTGTCCTGGCTGTGTCCCCTCCCAGCTCCTTGCGCCCCTCCAGCCTTCTTGCTGGCTGGGCATCAGAAGCTGAAAAACCCTTGACTTGGTCTAAACACTACTTAGCAACAACTGAAAACATCAGTGTGTTATCCACATTCTTCTCATCCTAAATCCAAAACATAACACTATACCAGCTACTAGAAAGAAAATGAGCTCTATCCCAGCCAAAACCAGGACAGTAGGCTATAGAGACTTTTGATGGAATTACTTGGGTATAGTTAGTTTCACTTTAGAATAAGTCAGATGATCTTCATGTTCCTTCCTGTCCCTGTGTTATTAAAGATATGTCTATGTTTTGCAAATATAAGAAAGAGGTGTTACTGAGGTAGAAACTCAACTTTTTTTTTTTTTTTTTTTAATGGTATAGGAGCTTAAAGATGCTAAAATTGCAATCCTTACTTGTCCGTTCGAACCACCTAAGCCTAAAACCAAGCATAAGCTTGATGTCACATCTGTGGAAGATTACAAGGCACTGCAGAAATATGAAAAGGAGAAGTTTGAAGAGATGGTGAAACAGGTAGTCTTTAAGATTATTTCTCTGTTTTCTATGTTTTTCACAGCCTTTACACAGAGTAGTGTAGTGCATGGATTTATTACTGGAAATGAGCTAATAATCCTGATAGGAGGCAACGTACAAGTGATTGTAAGGCTATGAATAAAGTGAAGTTTATGTAGGGAAGAGATACCACCCTGGTTTGAAATTTACTTTGATCTCTATGTATGCTAGATGGTTCTTCTTCAGACTTATGTTTTGCAAAAATGAGGAGAATTAAAATCATGAAGAAATTGTTTTTCATTCCTGTGTTAGCTCTCAGGAGGTTGACGTTGTGTGTTGCTTTCAGATAAAAGACACTGGTGCAAACCTTGCTATTTGCCAGTGGGGTTTTGATGATGAGGCAAATCACTTGCTGCTCCAGAATGAGC